GCCGCCGCCGCCGCCGCCTACTTCGGGTCAGTGCCCGCCGCGCCCCCGGCCCGCGCCCTGGCCGCCCGCCTGCCCCTCCACCAGCTGCAGCAGGGCCAACTTTTCCCTCCCGCTGGCCCCGGCCCCGGCGGGATCTCGAACTCAGACCTTAGCCCCCAGGCATCCAGCCCCGCCTCGCGGTCCGAGTTCGCGCCCCGAGCTCTGTCTCTGGCTTCCCCAGCTCAGGCCCCGATCGCACCTTCTAGCGTCCGAGTGTTGAGTCCCCTTCGCCGCCGCCCTTCTCACCCCGCGCTGTCCGAGACTTCATCCCGTTCGCTCCGCCGGGTCTCGCACACCCCAGCCCAAGCTCCCGGACTCTGCATGCGTCTCGGACCCCGGCCCCGTCCGCTCCGACTCGCCCTATCCCTGCCTGTCCAGGTGTCCCTCCCGCGCTCTGATGCCCTCTCCGGATCCTCACTCGGTGCCTGTCTGCCCCTCTCCTGGGTTCTGCCCAGCCGCAGTCCTTGCCTCGGGCTCCCTCCCCATGCCCAGCGGAGCGGAGACCGGAGGGCTGGGAGGATGGGTGGAAGTGGGTTGTTACTGAGGCCGGGGGAGGGGGTCGCGCCGATCCAAGGAGAATGGAGGAAGCCACGGACCGTGGGGAGTGTCAGCTGGAGACGCTGCAGGGAGCTGTCTGCTGGGGAAACCCGACCACGTCTCAGACCTGGCGTCGGGTGACTTCTCAGGATGACGAGAAGAGTGGGAGGGGAGGCGGTGTACATGATTGGGAAAGGAGCATCAGAGCCGGGGTGACATCTGGGGAGAGAGTGGGGTGGGAGCGGGGAGAGTTTGGAGCGCAAGTTACAGGGCAATTGTCCCTCCTTCTCTGACCCTGAATTGCAGGGACTTAGGGTGGGAGATGGGGTCTTGGGTGTGAAGGCAATTTCCTGACCTCCACCCAAAGCCTGCTCCAAATATGTACAGTCTGTTAGTTTAAATCGTGCCACTTTGTGATATTCACCCCAAATCAGGATGAGGTTTACTGTCTGACTACAGCAAAGACAAAAAAAAAAGAACAAAAACAAAAACACCAAGCAAGTGACCTGCCAGAGACTGCTCTGAAGGACCTGCCAGGGAAGGGCATGCAAGAGTCTGAGAGGTCCCGCACAGGCTGGAATAAGGGCTGTGGGCTAATTCCAGGTCATGACCCTGGTTAAAACATGCCTTGCCTCTGGGCAATGGCCTCTCCTGAAATATATGGGGGGGGGGGGGTGGAGGTGGGGAGGAGGTCAGCCCAACCCCAGCTCCAAGCTCAGCTTGCTGGTGACCTAGGAAGACCACTCAGTCTCTGGGCCTCAGTGACTCCTCTTGTACAAAGAAGGGGCTGCCTTGGTATGACTGAGCCTCTAGATCCCCCCCAAGAGCCATGCACACACATGTCTGTTTCCTGAGGATTTCAGGCTTGAAGGCACTGCTGCTGCCTCAGCAGACAGGATATAATGGTTAGGGCACAGACTCTGCAGTCGATCCCCAACCCTGCCACTTGCTAGCTGTGTGCTCTTGGCCAAGTCACTTAACCTCTCTGTGCCTCAGTTTCTCATCTGTAAAATGAGGATAATAGTGCTTATTTCCTATGAGGGTCACGTGAGTTCATTCTTGTAAAGCACTTAGAACAGGGTGTAGCACATGGTAAATGCTCAACTAATGCTAGTGATGATGATGATGGTGATTCGGGAGACCAGGTGCAGCATCTTGGTGTCCCAGCCCTGACAGGGGTTTCTCAGCTGGAATGGACAGTGCAAGGACAAATGGTACCTGCATCCTCTGGGACACCAGCTCATGTCCATAATTCTTTGTTTGCTTGGGTTTAGGAGTTGAGGTTGGGGTGGGGGCCAGGTGGGGTGGGAGTAGAGGGGCTCTAGGAGGCTGGGACCACCCTGGCTGGTGTGTTTGGAAGAGAAAGGAGTCTGTAGTAGTGCCCAGTGTTAGAATTGGAGGGCTGTGAGCAAGGAGGCAGCCTTGGAAACAAGAGGGGGATGGTGGATTAGGCCTGGGTGAGGGCTGAGTATTGGAGCCATGTATTGGGTCACACGAGTATGGGAGCCTCCTCCTCCAGGTTGTGACCCCGGCTGGGAAGACCTGGCAAATATACTCAAGCCACCACCACCCCAGTCTGGAGTGCAGGACAAATACTCAGAGAATAAGCTAAAATGGAGGCCTTGTGCTGTTATGTGTTTGGTCTCAGAGAACAGACAGGATTCATCCTGAGTTCTCATTGAGGAAGTCCTGTTGTGACCATCAGGCCAGGTTTTCCAGCTTCCTATCAGAATTTGCTCTGTGGAAGGAATCTATATCAGTCTTAGACAATGTAGTGAGAATGCGAGGCAATGTGCCTCTCCCTTCTCCCGGTCATTTGCATTTGAAATCTTATTTCTATTATAAGATGAAATGTTTTAGCATCCCCATAAAAGAAAATTCAAACATCAGGAGGGCAAGTGAGGCCAATCTTCTTGGGGTCTTTGAAATCATAGAATCACAGACTTAAGAGTTGGAAGTGACCCCTGAAAGATCCCTGGTCCAACTCCCTGCTTCAAGCAGGTCATGTATTCCCAATTTTCAGAGGAAGCAACCAGCATCCCCAAACCACAGAGAGCCAGCAACTGCTTCTGGTGCTTTTGCACGAGCCTAGTGCCTCATTCTGTTGATGTTGTTATTAATGTATTAACTAGTATCACAGTTCACAAATCACTTTCTTATACGGCCCCTCTCTCATCTGAGCCTGAGTCATTGTTGAGGTATATAGGATGGGTGTAAATAGTTCCCAAAAGGAAACTGAGGGTCAGAAAGGTTCAGTGACTCACCCTATGTCACACAGCAAGTTAGTGGGAGAGGCAGGATAGAAGCCAGGTCCTGCCCCCAGTCTGGGCTCCTTGCCCTGCAAAGAACAGCCTCCAGAGCTAATACTGTGTGGTCACCAGGGAAGCAGCTGCAAAGGAGCTGCAGAGGGGGTGGGGGTGCAGGGTAGCCCCCTCCCCTGCTTAGTTAACTCTTTGAGACCCTCTTGGCTGTAGTGGGATGGATGAGGCCACAGCATTCTCCTCTGTCCTCAGCAGTGGGACAAAATGCACTGAGTCCTGCTGGGGTTTCAGCAGGACCCCCCTGCTGGGGGGTCATCCCAGAGGATGGCATGATGACAGCAGGATGGGAGGGAGACCAGAAGTCAGGGGCCCAGGTTTGTCCGGGCTCTGGACCACTCTCTGTGTTGTCCACGGTCAAGTCACTTGCCTCCAAGGTCTTTAGCATCTGGAGGCCCTAAGGTACCCTAATAGGCTGGTCCTGGCTTGATGTCTAGGATTACTCAAGAGCTCGTGTTTTGGCTCAGATGGCTTGGGAATTCTGCAAATATTAGCTTTCACAGAGTTTTCTAAATGAACACCACTGTATTATGTGATGAGCTGGGCACATGACAGGCCTTGTCAGCCAATCCAAGCTTTAAGTCATTCCAGTGGCTTTGTAACTAGAAATAGTTCTTGTAGATGCTACTTTTAAAATTGTAGCTGATTTTGATGCTGCTTATTAAATGTGTGACTTGTGCGCTGGTTGGGTTTCTTTCCTATCGGCATGGTACGGAGACGTTTATGGAAGCACAGGCTTTTGAGTCAGCTAGATCTGAGTTTGAATCTTGGCCTCACCTCTTGCTAGCTGTGTGACATTGGGAAAATGTCTTAACCTTACTGAGCTTTGGGTGATGACAATACCCATCCTAAAGGCTGGTGCAAGGCTTAATTGAGACAACGAATGAAAGGGCCTGCTAGGGTGCCTAGCACATACTGAGTGCCTAGGCTCACCCTTGCTGGTTGTTGGGCTGCTAACCATCTTCTTGGGTTGTGGAAGTGCCATCGTTGTGAAGAAGCAAAACACAAGCTTAATTCTTTTCCCCAAATCAACATTACGTACAATACAATGCATGCATTCTAAGTGTACAGTTTGGGTTTTAACAAATGCGCACACCTGTGTAGCCACCACCACATTACTATATGGAACATTTCCATCATCCCAAAGGATCCCTTTGCAGTCAACCCTCCCCCACCAGCTCCTGCTTTCTGTTACTATAGATTAGTTTTGCCTGTCGTAGTTCATATAAATGGAATCACATGATATATAGCCTTTTGTGTCTGAACTCTTTTGCTCAAAATAATGTTTTTGAGATTCATCCATGTTGTTGCTTATATCAGTAGCACATTCCTTTTTACTGCTGAGTAGTATTACATTGTATGGATGTACCACAATTTGTTTATTTGTTCACCACTTGATAGACATTTGGATTGTTTCCAGTTGGGGGCTATTCCAAATAAAGCTGCTATAAACATTCATGTGCACGTCTTTTTGTGGACGTATGTATTTCTTTCTCTTGGATAAATATCTAGGACTGGATTGTTGGATCATATGGTACGTATATGTTTAACTTTATAAGAAACAGCCTAATAGTATTCCACAGTGGTTGTATCATTTTACACAGTAATGTATGAGAGTTGCAATTACTCCATATTCTGGTCAGCTATTGTCAGTCTTACCTTTGGCCATTTTAGTGGGTATGTATTTGTATCTCATTGTGGTGTTAATTCCATTTTTCCATTAATGAATGG